ATGTGTTTCTATGTGTTATTGATACAGCACCAAAATGTGTATCTATCATGAATTTCGAAAGTGTTTTAAAGATGAGTCTTAATCTCATTAAGTTATTTGGCTAGGTTCTAAGCCTTGTTTTCAAACTCAAAGTTGAGAAAGAAATGGGAAATGAAATGTAACATAGACTTAAATGTCATGAAACTGTAACGTGTTAAAAGTGGAAATATAAGCGTGGACCATCTATCGAATGCCGTTATTTTAGTCATTGTTTATAGTTGATTTAGTATATTTCTACTGGGCTGTGGCTCACCCTATATGGGACATCATTTTCAGGTACAGGTAGCATGCCACCTCCAAGGACATAGCTTGGGAGGCTTGAGACTGTTGGGCTGTTTTGTGTTTTTGATTGTATTACATGTATATGAAGCCAAGGGCTTTCTGTGTATAGAGTTAGTACTCCTTTTTTGTAACCAAGTGTTGACTTGGAAAGTTGTAAGCCCATAGGGCATTTACTTTTGATGTCAACATGTAATACATTTTGTAAAGACTACTCTGATGGAATATATTTATGCTTTACTCACTTATGTTTAAGCATGCTATTGTTGGATGATTTATGGGTTTATTTTGAAGGCGTTACACACCAACTAAGCATAAAAGCATAACTCTCAAAAGTGCTCAAGGAGTGACAAATGTAAGAGTGTAGCAACACTATAAGCACTGAAATAAGGTATCAAATGATGCCAAATCATTGAATCAATACAAGCATGGCATGCTAGGGTCCTTAAAGCATAAAGCTACCAAAGAGAACTACAAAGGAGGCATGCAATACATGGTACAAAGGCATGAACCAGCCATGGACAGAGCTCAATTAAGTCAAAACAAGGACCAAAACATGTTGAGATGAGAGCTCAAAGGTCTAGGCATGCATTCATACAAGCTAGGCCACAAACAAGGCAATAATGCATGACCCTTAGAGGCACTCAAAGAGTGAAAGAAGTGAGAATATGGCAATGCTATATGCTCTGAAATGTCATGTTAAATGATGCCAAATCATACACATATCACAAATGAAGCATGCTAGAGGCATGAAAACACAGGGCTAGCAAGGCCAATTGCACTATAGCTATGCAATACATGAAGCATATGGCCAATACAACCCCAAAAAGTCCTAGAGCATGTCAAAATGATGCTAAAACATGCATTGAGCAAAGCCAAAACAAGCCAGCATGAAGGGCCAACACATGGAGCATGCAAGGGCAATAGGGAGGATTACACTACACCTACCAAGACCAAGCATGAGATGATTTTACCAATAGAAATCAGAGTTATGGCATGTCAAATTAACACAAAAAATGGGCTAATACCAAATCAAAACATGCTAGAATAACAAGCTCACTTGTTAGGCATGCAAGACTAGTAAAGAGGACTTACACTACAAGTGTAAGAAGAAAATGAGGGATTCCCTAACCAACCAAAAACAGAGTTATATCATGGCAAAATAAGACCCAAAACACACTGAAATGGTGGTCCAAAAGCCTAGGCAAGATGGCATACACAATGGCTCATTTTTAAAGCATAAAGCACCAACCCTCCAAAGCATTGAAAGAATGACAAATGCAAGTGTATGGCTACATTATATGGACTGAAATCACATATCAAATGATGCTAAATCATACAAATAGCCCAATTAATGCATACTAGTGGACTCGAAACTCAAGACTAGTGAGCTAGAATGCACTATGGCTATACAAAGCAAGGTATGCATGACCAAAACAACATAAATCAGACCTAGATCATGGAAAAACATAAGTAAAATATTCCTGGAGTTGAGCCAAAATCACACTAGAATGATGGTCTAAAGCATGATGCATGTTAGGCTAGTGTGCAAGTTTACACTACAAGTGTATAGAGCATGCAAGAGGTGACCAAACCAGCCTAAAATAGAGTTATTGTAGGTCCTATAAGTCACAAAAACATGCTTGAAAAGAGCTAACATAATCCACAAAAAGATGCTACTTTATAGTGCTAACAAGGCAAGGCATGGAGAGACAAGGAGGGGAGGCTATCCCCCCCCCCCATTTGGGACATCAAAACAAGATTTTTGTTACTGAAAATTTCCTGGATTTTAGTGGTTAAAAATCCAAAAAGAGGTTGTTTGAAAAGTTTGAAAGTTAGCTCACAAGGCCTTACAAGCCAAGGAGCAAAAGGGAGGACAACCCCCTAGCCAACCAAGGCACAAACCAACACTTTTAGGACTGAAAAAACAGAGAAAAAATAGAGGTTTTTGTAGTTCAACACCACCCCAAAAACAGCCCCAAAGTAGTGTGAAAAGATGGCCAAGCAAGTGTGTAAAACAAGCTTAAAGGGAGAGAGATCTTACCCTTGATACACAGCTGCAAAACCAGCCTAAAATCTGAGCCAAAATTAGCCTTTTGGAGCTCAAACAAAGTCCCAAGTTACCTCAACCAAAATATGATCAACTTTGGTTAAGGGTCTCTTTGCAAAAGTGTAGGAAATTCTCACTTCTAAGCCTAAAACAAGAGGAAAATGAGAGAATTCTAGGGAGGGAGAGAGTTTTGCTCACAAAACTTCTAGAGAGAGAGGATTCTAGAGTAAGAAGTTCTCAAACTTCTAAGCCTTCAAGAAAATGTTCTAAGTCCTTAAGTATGAGATATTTGGCTTCATATATAGCAATTCAAAAGCTTTTGGTCGAAAATATCTGATTTGGGACAGGTGGCACAAGCTGGAAACAACTGGAGGAGAAATATCTGCCAATTCTGGGCTTTCTGGACATTTTTGGCCAATCAGCCAACATTTTTGGCCAATAAGGTTTACTTTTGGCCGACCTATGGCCGATGAGGTCCAATTGTGGCCGATGGACTCCCATAGAGGCCGATGGAAAAAATCAGTCCTGGTCTTTGACTTGAAGCAAGCCTAATTCCTTCATCTGGACTCCTTTTAGGTCATTCTTGAGCCTAAACTATAGCCCCAGAAGTCTTCTTTCCAAATTTGGATGCCTCACCTCAAAATTCTATGTGTGTTAAGAGATATCCCTCTTTTAGTGAAGGTTTCTCAGTTTCGGTCCAACCGGAATGATGCCCAACTTCAACCAATCATATCTCCCCCATCCGGACTCGGCTTTAGGAGATTCTTAACTGAAAAATAAAGCCCCAGAAGTAAGATTTCCAACGGTGGTGGCCTCATATCTGAAATCTAAGTATTCAAAAGGATAGGCTTGATTTAGCGAGGGTTGCTCGACTCTCTCTTAACGATTCATGCCCAACTTCTTCCCCAACTGGGTTTCTTCCCTCTCCTCTTCTTTTCTTCGACTCCAAACCCCTAAGCAAGGTGTTTTGAAAGATTTTTCAAAGATTTCACATCTCTTTCATTCATTTCCACTTTGTTCTTACTCGGTTTACTGAAAAACGCAACATTTGACAAAATGCGAGCCTCAGAACATCGTAGGAACGTTATTTCAAAAATATTATGAAAGAGAGGGTTTTAAGGTCTAAAAACCATCCAAAATAGCTTTGGTCCAAAATGGGGTGTGAGGTTAGGATTTGAGTCTCCTCTTGTCGAAGAAATCGAACCTTTGCCCTGCACATCTTTCATCACCAAGTAAACCATCAGTAGTGCCCAAGTCTTAAGGACGGTCAAAAATGGGGCGTCTACAGGTGGTAGTGTATGGATTTGGTTAATGTTTCTAGGCGGGGGGACTTTGTTATGTGTAGGAAGTGGGTTGGTAGTTACGTTTGGTTTTAAGGGTGGGGCGATGACTTTGTTGTCAATGAGATCCTGGATCTCATGACGTAGGCGGTAGCACAGGTCTGTGAGATGATCATGTTGTTAGTGAAAGATGCAATACTAAGTAAGGTCATGTCTGGGTAGTAATAGGTCAGGAAGTAGTCGAGGATCAGGGGGTTTGAGATGTCCCTTTTCCATTAACAATTTGAGGGCGCGGGCTGGGGCTCATATGGAGGGGGTGAAAGTTCTTTGGTTTCGGGGTGGGCCGGTAGTTTGTGCACGTTGCGAGGTTACAGCGGCAAAGGGATCGGCCATTTTGGTCGTTGTAACAACTGTACTGACATCTGCAGGCCGCATAATAGTACTATTGCTCATTGGTACCTCGGGAGAATGGCCTTTTTGCAGGTTCACTTGTTCTGTGAATAATGCCCTTTTTGAATGCACTCTCAATCTGGACCCCCAACTCATGTAGGGAAGCAAAGGTGGATAATGGTGCCACTATCATTCTCTGCAGCGTATCTGGTTTAAGATTTTGGACCACCAGCCGGACTTGCTCTCTTTCAAAAGGTCTATTTGACATTCTTGCTACTTTTGCCCTCTATTTGGCAACAAAGTCAGTGAATGATTCTTTGGGATTTTGGGTAGTAGCCTCTAGCTCACTGATGGTTACCTATATTTGCGTGTTATAAGAGTACTGGTTAACAAATGCCTCAGATAGCTCTTTCCAATTCTGCTACGTAGAATCCTCTAATTTTGCATACCAAATAGTCGCTATATCAGACAGAGTTCTCCTGAACAACGATAATTTTTGAGCCCGAGACAAGCCCATTGGTCTTAGCACATCTGAAAATAAACTAACGTGTATAATCAGACCCCCACTTCCATCGAATCTGTCAATGTGGGGCATCTTAAATTTCCCGGGTAATCTGACCGAAGCCTCAGTGTACCCGTCTTCAATATCCGAAATGGAGTTGAAGCCCTGGGAATTTTTCAGTGCTTTCTCTAGCCTAGAAATCTTGATCAGGGCCGGATCAATTTCATTAATATCAAAGGGAAGGATCCCCGCAAGGGGTTGAGCCAGAGGCCTATAAGTCGAGGCCGGGGGAAACATTTCCTAAGGATCTGGGATTTGGAGATTTTCCACTGGTAGAGGTGGATCTGGGTTCAACTGAGCAGTCGGGATTGGATGTACAGTTGACGCGGATGCCCTAGACGTGCGTCATAGATCAACGATGATTTCATCATGTGCAGTCATCCTTTGATTCACGGTATCCATGGTTCTCTGGAAAGTTGCCATGATAGTAGCAAATTCTTCTGCATTCTATGTCATTACTGGGCTAGGTGAGTTAGATACTGGTGAACTGTTTGAGTGAGAATTGATAGATGTTTGCCAGATGCTTTGTACTGGTGTTGTTGATTGTCTGTTCCGTCTTCGTCAAACAACTGGCGGAAGTGAGACTAACACTGGTTGACTACCAACAAGATCTTGAGCTTTGCAAAGCCTGCTAGAGCGAGTCCACACAACTTGGGGAATATCGGGTGTTGTTGAAGCTATGATGGTAAACTACCTAGCAAAAGACAGAAAAGAAAAACCATCAATTAAAATCGGACGGCACTTCGGCCCAATTCACCGCAAATAAAAAACAAAACTGAAAAACCACAATCCCCACTAAACTCTGCTCTCAAACTAATACTGATATGAACCATCCTGTATAGTCTCACTATAAAAGCATATACCAAGTAAAAGAACCAAAACACCCCTATGAGGGGGGTAAGGTTACCCTGTCCCAGATTTTTGACATGGTCTAGGCTACACTACTTCAATCAACGAGTCTCACAACATCCTGAATAGGAGTTGCATCCTATCCTAATTTGGGATAGTCGCTATGGCTTGATATATGAAGCTAGGCCAAATGGTCGAAAGGGTACCTCAGCAAGATTGCCTAATATACCTCTCACACCGAACACCGAGAAGTGAAAGGAGGATCAAGTAGTACAGCGGTAATCCAGATCCAAGGGCTGTGTTTCCAACATGGTAGAGCCCATGACTGTTCAACCTTTTGGCAAGCTTTTAAGCAAGCCTCGGGCAAACCATCCAAGAATAACAGATGGCAAACACAGTGACTTAAGAGCACCAATGGAAATGCAATGCAAAAAACATAGAGGTGTAGATAAAATTTCACGTCATGAAGTTCAAGTCAAGTTCTCTAACTCCCCAGTAGAGTCACTAGAAATTGTAGCTTGCTTTTCGTGCTCATTTCGGATATGACTAGCCCTACAGTACGGACACCCGTGGTTCTGAATCTGATTTCACAAGTGCAATATGAAATAGTAAAAACACAAAAAGAGTTCAAATCCGGCAATTCTTTTTGGCCAATTGATGTTTGAATCAAATGCCAAAAATGGACTACTTTGCCAGGTTTCAGAGTTGCTACCTAAATATTTTTTTTGAAAAAAATTAGGAACCCCGTGATTCGTGCCAAAGGCCATTTATCAGTCATCACCAAAGTGTCTCAGCTCCGGAACTTAGATATGAGAGGGAAAGGTCATGAATTGAGCAACCCACTCACCTGATCAAAGATCAGCCTCTACTAATCATGATATGTTTTTTTATTTACATTATATGCTCTTGTTTCGATTCATTAGCTAGCATTACTATGTGATGCACGCAAGTATAGACTGATTTGCAAAAGATAGAATCTTTGATTTCACTAACTTTTGCAAATTAAGTAAAAGGCCTTAAGTCACTAATTTGCAAAAGTTAGTGACTAATTTGAAAAAGTTAGAACTATTTACACTAATCAATTTATTCCAACTTAAGTAAAAGGCCTTCGTCCACCAGCATTCAAACAGGTATATCAATTAAGCACTTAGATTCATGGAAAACATGCTTGGCATGGCAATAGAGACATGCAATGCGATATGCTAAAACACAAAATGCTCACCTAGTACTCTAAAGCACACCAAACAAAGCAAAATAATTAGCAAACATGCATGTTCTTAAATGATGCAATATGACTAATGTGACGCACACATTATGTAATTTTTAATAGGCTTGGCTATGAGCATGGTATGTGATTCGATTCAAGACATCTGATAAATCACGTTTTCAAACAATGAAGTTGGTTTAGAATGATGAGCTGAACCCAAATTTACATGAAACAAGTGTCTGCAAACATGGGAATGCTAAGTAAATATGATGCTACCATTATAACTGGGTAAACAAAAGGGAGAAAGAAATGGGGGTTGGAAGACATACACCATTATTACATATTTTGTCTCATGCAAGAGGGTTCGAATAAGCGTCCAAGTGTTCGGATTAATAGCTAACTATTAAAAACCCATATGAATAAATTGGACGAAATAACTACCTAGCTAAGCTAATTAACTACCTATTACAAATTCAAGGGGCACTAAGCTAACTATCTAATCTATTACAATAAAGATATTATATCAATACTAATTATGCGACAATAATAGCCAACGCAATTGTAACAATAATTAATATTTTACAATAACAATAATTACAACAATAAGGCACAATGATTGCATGCACAACGCCTAGAAGCTACTTTATCTGCTCAAACTGCTCTGCCTCACCCTCAGCCACTGTCCTCTATTTTTGCAAGAAAACTCACTGCTTGCCAAACATTGGGAGTCGGCTGGCTCCAAATGAGATCCGGCCGGGTCCAAAGAGTGCTGGCCGTACCTTAATTTCATGTCAAAATTGTTTTTGTGCTCTGAGGTGAGAACAATGTTGACAGAGCCCTTCTAGGCTTTGTTTGTCCCTTCTGCCCCTCTCTGTCATGGGAAACTCAAGAGAAGAGCAAGTTCGAAACCGAAATCACCAATAAGCACAATTGATGGCTTGATGATTTCAAGCATGTTTGGACAAAATTTAATAAATGTAATGGAAAATCACCTTTACCTCCTATCATGAAGGCTCAAAGAGGAAAGTAGACACACTCTAAGTCTTATCAACATATCATGGATTGATACGTGACAATTCTTGGAACGATGGACTCAGTATAACGTTTGACCGACTCCAACCAACTCTGAACATATTCTTTATGTCGGTTTAGTTCATTTTAAGTTGATTTTGTTAGCCCTTTCCATTCTTTAATCAATTTGTCCAAAGTGATGGTTAAGTCCACTAAATGAGAAGAAACATCAAACGAGAAGTGCTTCTAAGCATGAAAGAGAGACCGTGTCGTTGATAATGAACCTCCGTAGAGATTAAGCCATTGAGCATAGGTCTCTTTCTCATGCTTTGAATAACCATCAATCGGTCGAAATAACTCTCAAACAAAAGAAAAGAAGAAAAGAGGGAGGTTGCAAAAATGAATGCTAGATTGATTATGAGAATGAGACTCTTCAACATAGAAAAACCAAGCAAATAAAGCTAGCAACTCGAACAACTTGGCTTACACAACCAAAGCTATGAGGACATACGATACAATAGGCAACCTAATCAAAGCATGAGCTAATTCACTAAATCAAAACAAATATAAACAACCCCTAACATGCCAAAAAATAGTGGCTAAAAGTGTATGAAAAGAGCCCAAAAGGTCCCCAAAAAAAAAAAATCAAGAAAAAAACAATACTAGTAAACAAGAACAAGGAGGGGTAGCTAACCCCTCCACTTTTGAGACCTCAAACCATTTTTTTTTAGCCTTTTTCAAACTTTGAAAATCAATTTAAAAGGCAAAGAAAACAGTGTAAAATAAAGGTGTGAGCTATGAAGCAGAGTGCAAGAAAGGGTGTTAACCCTCTCTACCCTTTGGTAGCCATTGAAACCCAAGTTCCAACACTTGAAATAAGATCAAAACAATACAAAATCACAAGAAATAGGCAGAGAAAGACAGAAATGAAAGCAATAGAAAGATGATAAGCTTATACCTCTTGAAAAAGGTAAGCTCTTGTTTGTGAACCAAACTTGGTCCAAGCACACTCTCATGCTTGAATTGTGATTCACTAAGCTCAACCAAGGTTCTAAGTTATGGCTCCAAGGTTGTATGTAGTATATAGATAGAGTACAAGGATGATCAAATATCTTCAAGGTAGCTTGCATAAGAAGAAGGGGGCCCTCAACTATGTTTTGCTTCTTTGAAATTTTTCTAACCTCTAACACTGATATATATGCTCGTATTTGTAGAATTTGAGCAAAAACAGGTTGAAAATATCTTCAAAAATGAACAGTTAGCTCATTCCCACCCAGAATAGTATTTCTCACTAAAGAGAGCTAGCCGGCTCCTAATGGCCACGGCCGGCTCCCAATGTGGTACGGTCGGCTCCCAATGTTCTCCCTTGTTCCACTGTTTTAAACTCAATGTAGGGTGGCACAATGGTCAAAAATGAATTTCTTGTGTAAGAACAGTATGAATATAAAAGGTTTGGGATTGGTTTTGGAGCTTGAACTTACATTCCTTCGTTAAGACTTCGAATCACACACAACGCAACTTTCATCATCAAGTGCGTAGGACAAAGCATCCAAGTCTTACAGGCGGTAAAAAATGGGGTGCCTACACCCTAGTACTTCACCTTGGGGAGCACCAGCTCTTTTTTCCAAAAAGAAAGATGGTGCGTTGTGGCTTTGTATAGATTACCGAAAGTGAAACCGGGTAACTATTAAGAACAAGTACCCAATGCCTCATATAGATGATTTGTTTGATCAGTTGAAGGGGTCTTGTTGCTTCTCTAAGATAGACCTGAGATCGAGTTATCACTAGTTGAGAATAAGGGAGGAGGATATCCCGAAGACGGCATTCCGTATGCGGTATAGCCATAACGAGTTTCTAGTGATGCCGTTTAGGCTAACCAATGCACTAGTTGTGTTTTTGGATTTGATAAACTGGATCTTCCGTGAGTTCCTAGACCACTTTGTGGTTGTCTTTGTGGATGATATCTTGATTTACTCACCCTTTGAGGAGGAGCACGAGGAACACTTGTGAGTGGTGCTTGAGTTGCTTAGAGCCCACAAGCTGTATGTTAAGTTTGGGAAATGTGAATTCTGGCTGAGGGAAGTTAAGTTCTTAGGCCATATAGTATTCGGGAAAAGGGTGACTGTAGATTCATCCAAGATAGAGGCAGTGCAAGATTGGAAAGAACCTAATAATACTTTTGAAATTTGTAGTTTCTTGGGGTTGGCCAGATATTATCGTCGGTTCGTGAAGGATTTCTTTAGATTAGCCTCACCATTGACTAGATTGAAGAGGAAAGGGATCAAGTTTGTGTGGAGTGAGACCTGTGAGACATCGTTCCAAGAGCTTAAGGTTAGACTTACCACTACTCCAGTATTGATTATTCTGGAGAAGGGTTTGGGCTATTCGGTGTATTGTGAT